TACGACTTTGTGCGATAATTTAGACGTTGAATCCGAGTATCCTGCCGGAGTAGCCTCCCCTTAGAAAAGTGGGGGGAGCGGAGAAATTGCGATTTGGGGTTTTTGGGGCAGGCTGTGCCGAAAACGAGGGCGCGGAAGAAGCCGAAGCAAAACAAGACAAACGATCAAAGCAACAAACTAAAGGCGCTCCACCTTCAGCAGGCCAGCGCCACCATCTTCTATGTCGCCGCCGGCTGTGGGCAAATCAGTGGGCGCGGAGACCGAACGGATTGCAAAACAACCGAGCCAGTGGCTGACCAAAGTGAAGCGCAGGCACCTCAAACCCCCTCAAAGCCAAATTTCGCTCGCCGGGCCGCAAGGGACGCACAGCAGAATAAAACGTGCCCCAGCGCCTCCTCACCCACGCCGCTTCCAAACCACGGCGCCTCTCCCCACCTTGAAACCCTCCTTGTAAAATCCGCCGGCATCGATGTCTGGTGTTCGCTCCGAGACAAGGATGGAGAAGCAGTGCAGACGCCGCGCCTCTCGCCGAGAAAACCTCGACGCGAGTTCCCCACCCTCCTCTTCCCGATAAACACAAATTGGTTCGATAGGGCGCTGGCCCCGGGCGCGGCCGAACTGGCCCGGGCGGGACTTTCACCGTGCGCCACGCCCATGCACTTCCGCAGTGCGTCGCGTGAGGCACCGGTCCTCCCGCGGAGGGCGCAGGGGGCTGCGGGCGCCCCTATTCTCCTACCTGCTTCGCCCGCAAGCGGCATATTTGCCTTCCAGCAGCAAAGCGGCTGCTGCATACGCACCCGCCTAGGCAGCGCCCGCCGCCACCACACCACGCACAACCCACCCAGCACGTGATGCGCCCGCAGGCAATGGGGGCATTTAATATGCTCTGGGCCCCCAGCAACAACGAAATTGCAAGAAGCCGCTGCAATTGCCGTGGGGGGGCAGAGGGCCGGGCCGAGCGCAGCCAGGGCGCTCCCCACGACCATGCGCGCAGGCCAGCGCAAGCGCCGCAGACGGCCGCATCGCCCAGCGCAGAACCCGGCCTTCAACAGGACCTCCCCGGCACGTTGAGCGTCGCAGCGCACAGGTGCCTCGGCGCAGGGGGCGCCGCGTTCTGCTACGCTTTCCAATCCTCCGGCACCTGAGGCCGGGGGCGCCCTGATTGACTCGCTCCCCGGCACTGGGGGGAGCCTGGGCGCTGTCGAGGGCACTGGGGTTTTTGCGCGCGGTGCCCTCAGAGCTCCCCAGGCTCCGCCCAGTGCCGGGGAGCCGCCCGATCGCACCTTCCGCCGACAAGTGCCTGCAATGCGTTTTTC